CTATAATTTAACAATTATTGTAAACTGGCAGTTAAACTAATTCAATTAAATTTCGTTTTCATTCCGTACTTACATACAGGTAGGCCTCCTACAACGCGGTAGATACGTCCTTAAAAATACCGCGTTGTGGGAAATCACGTTATAGGAGACACCAACTTAATACAAAAACTGGGATTCGGTTCTAAAAAGAAAAAAACTTGGCGTTTGAATGGCGTTTTTTGAATTTTTCAAACCAGCCATTGCTAGCCACGAATTTAACACTGGTTTCATCAGCTGACGACTGTCCCATTTGTTTTAAATAATCAAATAATTTTAAGGTTTTAAGTGCAGTTTTATTTAAAGGCAACCGTTTCTTGTTCATATCTTCTACCCATAATATTAGCGCTTATTCCATTTTTACCATTATAGGTGCTCTCGGACGAGCAACATTTTTCGCAAGAATAGATGATCCGGATGCGACCAAATTTTTGATCTTTTATCCTGACCGAATCGTCGACTCATTTAAATTAAAATGCCTACCGATATCAGCTATCCGCTCTTGATATTTAATTCGATCCAAAATTTCTATCTTTTTTGAAGATTTATAAATTTCCTTTTTAACGATGGTCCTTTCTCTTCATTCGGCATTGTTATGGCTAAAATTTTATCAATCAGTTTTGTGGACAGTAAAAATCGCAAAAAATAACTTCCTTTCACTATGTTGTTAAAAATATACATCCAATAGAAGTTTATACTGTATTTNTTTAGTTTCGAAAATTTTACTTTGTTAAAAGAATTATTTATTGTGAAAAATCAAATAAGAATTCTAGAAAATTATACATTTTATAATTTGAATAATCTTGTGTTGGTCAAATTGAGAATCACTCAAATGCAAAAATTATTATTTATGATTACGTGAAATAAATAACATCTTTTAATTGTGATAATTAAATATGGAAAATAATAATTCTAGAAATAGTTATATAACTAGTCGACCGCCCTTGACATACGACGAATACCAGTTTTTTTGGTAAATCCCCAAACCGATCGGCGAAATGTTATGAAAACAGTATAGTTACTATCTGCAATATTATTGGTATTCACCATTCTTAAGTAAGTAAATTATTTTCTTTTACATACGTCGAAATTTATTATTCAAAATTTTTTCTATGACAAAATGTATTTAGTTATCGGTGTAAATGAATTTATTTAATATTAATTTTACGGTTTTACAGTACTAAAATTAGACGGCCGGATGGCCGAGGCGGTTAAGGCATATAAGTCTACCGCTCTAGGGGACCCGCGATCGAGAACATGACGTGCAAACCCAGGTACTGTACGTTTTGTGGGCCGTCCAGGATAAGTCGAGCCCCGTACCTCATTGTAAGTCAGACCGAACCCACGATCGGTATGGAAAAAAGACCCTCTTAGTTTCCGCGAGGTAGAAACAACTTTTAAAATGTACTAAAATTAAAGGAAACAAAATTCCAGTTTTTCAAACATTTCGCCCCATTAAATTACGTCTATTCTTTTGAATTACTCACCTTTAATAGGTGTACAGTACAACATTTGCGGTTAAAAATTATTTCTTTTTTATTCTCTTTACTCACTTGCTATTTTTAGCTATATTTCTATATCTTATTTCCGGTCCAAATTATTTTTCGTTATAATTGCTATTATTTTCGCATTTTCCTCTTAATTATCTGAATGGATTTGGACTGTCATACAAGGAAAATTTTTGAATAAATTTAATTAAGACAGGTAAAATTTTTAAAAAACTTCTATTCATAATATTAAATCATCTATATTATTTTACAAATTATAAGGATTCATTTTTCTGATTTTACTTTAAAAAATTTAAATTTAGAGTAAATATGATACAATACAATAGTGCATAACTATTTTACCACAGTATAATTTACTCTTGATTGTTAATTTACACTATCTGTAGAATTAATACTACACTGTACTGTATATGAAACGTATGAATGTGTAACTGTATGAAACAACACAACTTAATAACTAAGAATGTATCTTGCTCATTTTGAGTAATTACTAAGTATTACAGTTTAATTTTTCATTGTGAATAATATTTTAAAAAAGGAATGTATATTATTGAGACATCGTCGCAATACCGGGATGAAATTTTTTAAGCATGTTTTAATTTTAAAAACCACTTGATTTCCGGTCAAGACCTATAGTTAATTAGGTCTTCCTACCTTTACGCATTCTGTGCCTGGTCTCGATTTTCATCTAACTCCGTTTTTGAGATTAACGAAGGACAAAACGGAAGAACAAATGAATGGCAGTGGGAATGATCTGCAATCTGAAAATTGTAGCCCAATCAAAATATTCGCAGAGAAATTATAAGTTTATATAATATGTAATATAGTACAACCTGTCCGAAGCGGAACCTTAATAAAACGGAATAAATCGGTGTCTTCCTTGCATAAAACAAGGAAGACACCGATTTTTTATTTAAAAATATCTGTTCAAAATGGAAACCGGCCAAACCGGAAAAAATATTCGGTACCGTGAGTCCGGTTTAGACAGGTTTCACTGTATTAATAACGAATCAAATTTTTTAAAAGAAATTGTAAATTTTTAATAATTTTAATCTTTGAAGCCTATATATATAGAATTTTATTTACCAATTTAACAGATGATTGTATCAAGTATTTTTTATAGTATAGATAATTTACGAATATAAAAAGTAGTCTTTCAAATACTGTATAAGAGGATTATCTCTTTCCGAGAATAATTATCAACGAATGTAGCAGATTTATCGAAAGATAAATAATAGTTTCTAAGATGATTTCAAACAATGACAATTCTATTTCTCTTAATTTCACTCTGCATGACGATGTTTGTCTAATTGTAATTTTCCTCGAAATTGACCTTCATAAAGCCAATAAAATATTACCTGTTCCAAGAAATACATAAATTGTCTGATGCATTACATTTCGATTTAAAAATCATTTAATAAAGTTTTATTATCTTATTATTTCATTCATAAAATTATATACACATAAATTTGCAGTTTTAATTTTTTTCCTTTTCAGATTTATCAATGGAATTGAATCTTTATCAAATATTTTACCATGGTATTCAACCTGTGGTTGATCCTCATTTTATTTGTTTTAGAAATTAGACAGAGTTACCAAATCGGCAAATTTCTAGGACCTGTTAACTATCTTAAATCACATTCCGATATTGGCAAACCATTTATTAAAAGATTTGTGAACGGTTGTGAAATTAAACTTTCTTCCAGGAAAAATGTCTGCTCTGGACAATTATGTACTAAATTTCCAAGTGAATGTATTAAGTTAAACATTACATGGTTGGCTCTAGAAGAAACTGGGATTGGAAAATTGGATCCTTTTAGTTTCGAAAATTTTACTTTGTTAAAAGAATTATTTATTGTGAAAAATCAAATAAGAATTCTAGAAAATTATACATTTTATAATTTGAATAATCTTGAATATTTAAATCTGGGTGGAAATCTAATACAGACGATTGAAAAATATGCTTTTGAAGGTTTAAAAAATCTAGAAAATCTTATTTTAATTAAAAATGAATTAACGACTATCACACTCTTAGCAGAAGCATTAGTACCAACATTGTCTTCTTTGCAGATCTTAAATATCGGGCCTAATCAATTCGCAGAAATTAAAAAAGATGATTTCAATTTACTCAGACAGAATAAAATAAAAGAATTGGATTTAATGTTTTGTGGAATAAATTATATCCATCCTCAAGCATTTAATATTTTCAAAAATCTCGAATATTTATCATTAAGAATGAATGAAAGACTTTCTTCAAAAATACTTTGTGATTTATTTTCCAACATGACAGATATTGTTCCTTTAGAAAGACTGGATTTAAGTGGAATTTCAGATTTAAATAAAGACAAAAATTTCTTTATTCTATTAAATAAACTGAGACTAAAGACTTTATATATGAATGCTGTCGAAATAACCGATATCAAAGATGAAATGTTTCCAAATATGGATTACTTAGAAGAACTTCATATGGACAAAGCACGTGTTAGAAAAATAGGAGATTATGCATTTAATCCTTTGAAAGCATTAAAGTCTCTGTTTTTAGGGAGAAATGTTTTAAGCGAAATAACGAAAGGACTATTATTGCCTCATTTAGAAAATTTAGATTTGAGCGGCTTTCCTATGAGCAGCTTGATGTTAGAAATTAAAGATAATATATTTATGAATATGAGCAGTCTGAAGAGTCTCGATTTATCATATAAAATTATATCCATTTATAGAAATACATTTGCAGGATTAATTAAATTAGAAAAACTAAAACTTGAAAACTGTAAAATGCAATTCATCGAGCTTGGCTCTTTTACACATCTGAAATCGTTAAAAATGCTAGACATGAAAAACAATCAATTGTTTCAAACAAATTCATATAGTGTTCAAATGTTTCATGGTCTTGTTTCATTAGAAACACTTATACTAAATGAAAATAAGTTAAATTCTATAGATAGTTTATTTAACAGGCTGTTTAGTTTAAAATATTTAGACTTGAATTACAATTTGATCAAAAACATAAAGCCAGAAAATTTTTTCAATCTAACTAATTTACAAACACTTTATCTGAGAGGTAATATTCTTGTCGAATGGAAAAAGAAAACGTTTTCTAGAAATAAAAATATGAATTTTATGGATATATCTAAAAATAAAATAAAAACTATATCATCATCAATGTTGAATGATATTAAGAATTTAAAACAAGTTAATATGTCAGATAATCCATTCGTATGTAACTGTGAACTGCTGATTTATCTGAATTGGGCCAATGACACTAATACTACAATTATAAACTATTCTGTAGATGAAGATGCTTACATATGTCATGTACCAATTGAATTTTCAAACAGGAAACTAATTTCTATGCATAAAACGCTTTTGTATGATTGTAAAACAAAAATCAAACCAGCGCTTCTTGGACTTTTAGCTATTTTACTCTTTTTGCTTCTTACTGTGGTTTTTGCTGGTTACGTTTATCGAAGAAAACTTAAGAATAGACCTTTAAATTTAGATAACAATAAAGAATTTATTTATGATGCTTTTATTTCGTACAGTACCAATGATTCAGACTGGGTCTTCAATATTTTCCTTCCTCATTTAGAGAATAGAACAAACGATCTAAAATTATGCGTTTATGATCGAGATTTTGTCGCAGGTAAAGGAATCAGTGAGTGTATTTTGGACAGTATTAAGTGCAGCAGAAAAACCATATTGATTATCTCCAACCATTTTCTACAAAGTCGTTGGTGTAAATTTGAAAGTGATTTAGCTCATCACATTCTTGTAGACGAAGAAAGAGAAGGATTATTGCTCATTAAATTAGAAGAATTAGATACAAAATTCATTACTCCACATATGAACTATTTATTAAAAGCTAAAATTCATTTGAGTTGGAATGAAAATTTGAACGAACAAGAAATATTTTGGAAGAGACTGAACGATGCATTGGTAAGACCGCGTTCAAAGAAAAAACGTAGAAGTGCTATTATTTAATCTCTTACATAAAGATTTTTAAAACAATCTTTCGAAAATAAGGTATTGTTATAATTTTATTATATAAAGTTATATAATTATAATGTAATCAATATAATTTTTAGTATTGTATAAATATAAAAGCATTAACATAAAATCTATATTTATTAATACAGGTATTTCAAAGGAAATAGCAATTATGAAATTGACGTATAAGGAATACATAGGCTAAATATACCGATTGATCCCCATTAAAAAATAATGCGCTTAATTTTTGAGTAAAATAGTAGTAAATTTTTCTTACAGATAGAGGTAGATAATTTATAAAACTAAATTTTGCACAATAATCTAACAGTTATAAAATATCATAGGATTTTTTATGATTTATAACAGTAAAAATGCAAGGAGTTAAAAACTAAAAGAAAATGTCAATAAAGCAAAAAATTTATTTGTACTGAATTGCCTTTTGTTCTCGTTGTAGTTGTCATGAGTAAGCATAAAATTTTATATTAAAAAAAATTATATAACATGGAAAATTATATCGTGATATAGAAAAATATAACGAAATTACTATGCCAGAACTTTTTCTTATTTCTAATAATTATCAAGAAGGAATAAAATAATAATAAGACGACAATAATTGTTCTTTCTTAAAGATAGTTTTTCAATTTAAAGAAATTTCTAAAACATAAGATTGAAAGTAAATTTTATGGGAAAAATTATATAATATTTTTATATATTATATAA